TTCTAAATGAAAGCTTTGCTGGATAGAGCAATCTTGGATGTAGGTCCTTGCCTTTCATGACTTGGAATACTTCTTTCCAGCCCCTTCTTGCCTGCAAGGTCTCTTTTGAGAAATCAGCTGACAGTCTGATGGGAACTTCTTTGTAGGTCACTCTCTCCTTTTCTCTTGCTGCTTCTAGGATTCTCTCCATTTTACCTTGGCAAAGGTAATTATGATGTGCCTTGGTGTGTTCCTTCTTGGGTCCAACTTCTTTGGGACTCTAAGCTTCCTGGACTTCCTGGAAGTCTATTTCCTTAGCCAGAATGGGGAAGTTCTCCCTTATGATTTGTTCAAATAACTTTTCCACTTACTGCTTTTCCTCTTCTCCTTCTGGTACCCCTATAATTCAGATGTTGGAACATTTAAAGATGTCCTGGAGGTTCCTAAGCCTCTTCTCATTTTTTTGAATTCTTATTTCTTTATTCTTTTCTGATTGTATGTTTCTTTCTTCCTTCTGGTCCACTCCATTGATTTGAGTCCCAGTTTTCTTCCCATCACTGTTGGTTCCCTATACACTTTCCTTCACTTCACTTAGCATAGCCTTCATTTTTTTTTTTTTTTTTTCATCTAATTTGCGACCAAATTCAACCAGTTCTGTGAACATCGTGATTACCAGTGTTTTGAACTGTGCATCTGATAGGTTGGCTATCTCTTTATCGCTTAGTTGTATTTTTTCTGCTTTGATCTGTTCTTTCATTTGGACTTTTTTTTTCCCCCCTTTTTTGTGGTCTTGACGTGCCTGTTACGTGGTGAGGGGTGGAGCCTTAGGTGTTCACCTGGGCGGGGCAACCCAGTTGCTGGGTTGTTACGCTGTATGTGGAGCAGGGGTCCGAGAGCTTAATTTTTTTTTCTTCATCTTGTTCCTAAAATACCAGAGACTTTTAAATTCCTTTAAATTCTCCATTTATACATTGTCTTCTTAAAGACAATGTATAAATTGTCAAGACAAATTTGTCAAGACAAATGTAAAGACAAATTGATGTTTCTCTTTCTCTTCATCTCTTTCTCTTCCCCTAAATCACTCATCATTTTTCTTCCAAACATTTTAAAACCACTAAATGAAATTGATTATGTTCTAGCTAAATTCACCCAGGTTTGTTCAAAGTACCTTAGGTAGAACAATTATTCCATTGTATTTTCAAAGGGAAAAGGGATCAATAAAACAAAAATAGGGGCAGTCACCTGTTCTTGAATGCACAAATAATGAAAACAAAATATTTGTTAGTAAACTCTATTTCTAAAGCAATATAATAGTGTATTTCCTCCTTAAAAGTAATGTACACCTTGGCCAGATGGCTCAGTTGGTTGGAGTGTTGTCCCTGTACACCAAAAGGGTTTGATTCCTGGTCAGGGCACATATGAGGGGGACCCACTGAAAAAACCTGGAATTTATTTATTTAAAAAAAATTGTGTAGTCTTACATGTTTAAACTTTAGTCACCTTCAAAGTTCTCCATTTGATGCAGTATAGCTATTGAGACTTTTTTCCACTGCTCAAAACAGATTTTGAACTCATCGGGGTTTTTTTTAAGATTTTATTTATTTATTTTTACAGAGGGAAGGGAGGGAGATAGAGGGAGAGAGAGAAACATCAATGTGGTTGCTGGGGGTCATGGCCTGCAACCCAGGCATGTACCCTGACTGAATCGAACCTGCGACACTTTGGTTTGCAGCCCGTGCTCAATCCACTGAGCTACACCAGCCAGGGCTTGAACTCATCAGTTTTGATGCCTATTAATGTTTCTACCATTTTTTGTTTCACCTCTTCCACAGCAGCTAAAAGTTTCCCTTTGAAGACTTTTTTCACTTGGGAAAACAAAAAAAAAGTCTCCTGAGGCAAGATTGTCTGAATAGGGAGAGTGGGGCACAACGGTCACACTGTTTTTGGTCAAAAACTGCCGAACACTCTGCATGATGTGGGCAGGTGTGCTCATAAATCACTCATGAAATGGGCAAATGCGTTTAAACAGCCTTAAAAAAAAATTCACTGAAGGTGAACGTAGCCTCTCACAACAGTGCCAACTGGACCACTGATAGAGATGGGTTCCTAGAACACTCACCTAGTGGTGGAATAGTATACTACAAGAGGCCCACCCTCCAGAAGATAATTTCTGGTTTCGGCGGGGGGGGGTCACTCCTCATACATAGGTTGTGGTTTGATCCCCAGTCTACGTACGTATAGGAGGCAACTGATTGATGTTTCTCACGTTGATGTTTCTGCCTCTCTAAAATCAAGGGAAATATCCTCAGGAGAGAATAATAATAATAATGTGCAATCAGCATGGGCTGGATATCTCAACTGGCTAGAGCATCGTCCTGGTACACCAAGGTTGTGGGTTCAATTTCTGGTCAGGGCACATACTAGAATCAAACAATGAATGCAAAAATAACTGGAACTACAAATTGATGTTTCTCTTTCTCTTCATCTCTCTCTCTCCCCCTAAAATCAATAAATAAAAAAGCTTAAAAAATAATGTGCAATTAGATAAATTTCAGCTGACACAGGAGTAATTATGATGATTTGAAAAAATTCAGGATAATTGTGTATTGCTAGTGTAACTAAGCTGTTATAAGCAGAGAAACATTACTTATGTGAAACATTACTATATTAACTATTCTTTATATATATTTGAAGAAACAAGATATATCACACTTAGAAATTTATATTTAAATGATTTTTGAGGTATAACTTGCATACAAATTGGAGTAAAATTCTCCAGTTTTAAGTGTACAGTTTGATGAGTTTTGACAAATGTGTATGTTACCGCCACCACAGTCAAGATACAGGACATTTCCATCACCCTAAAAAGTTCCATAGTGCCTCATTGCTGTTTGCCTCACCCATGTCAGCCTCCAGTGACCACTGATCCCTCTGTCAGATAGCGTTTGCCTGGGCTAGACTTTCATATACGTGGGGTCATACACAATGTAGACTTCTGTACCTGTTTTTGTATTATAAATATTTTTAATTTTCTATGTATTATTATGTTTTGACTCCTTGAAAATCTTTTTGGCTGGAGAGAGACCGCCACTGGAGAGAGGCTAGCCATTTTTTAGAGATGGCAAAGGGCCCAGCTTGAGCATGCCTTTGGTATGCAAACTGAAGAAGATGTGGGATGGAGTTATATAGATACAGATATAGATCATGGAATAGTACTCAGCCATAAAAAAGAATGAAGTCTTGCCACTGGCAACAACATGGGTAAACCTAAATGGTATTTTGCTAAATGAAGTCTTGGTCTGTTTCCAATTGACCAAAACTGATTTTTAAATCCTGGTTGTGAGTTACTTTCCTGCTTCTTTTAATGTCTGGTAATTTTTTATTGGATCCTATACATTGCAGAGCTTATGTTTTGTGATGCTGTATTCAGTGTATTTCTTTTTTTAAAGAGTATTGGATTTTGTTCTGATGATTTCTTATTTGTGATCAGTTTGATCCTTTAGAGTCTTGCTTTTAAGCTTCAGTAGGGGACATACAGAATAGCTTCTAGTCCCATTATAAAACAGTATGCTTTCAGAACTCTACTAGATAGATACCCCTTTTATCAACAAGAGCTGTCTGCTCTCCCTAGGAGAACCACAGACTAATCCCATCTCTGTCTGGACTCCAGGAATTGTTCAGTTTACTTCTGTCTGGGAGTAGTTTCCCTGGCCTCACCTGTGCAGATACTTGTTCTGCAAAATATTCCAGGGAACTCTTCTGCAGGTGCCCAGAATTCTGCTTATGCAGCTCCTTTTGTATTTTGCTATTTAAATCCTTACTGCTTTGGCCTCTCATAACTCCAATATCTCACTCATCAATTCAGCAAGATTATTGGGCTCTGCATGAGTTTTCTTTTTCTGCAATCCAGCTTGGAAATTTCCTTCAGGTAGTAAGCTCTGGCAGTTGTAGGACTCACCTTGTTTGTTTCTCTGTTTGAGATCATAGGTCTTCAGTTATCCAGTGCCTGAAAAACATTTTTTTCTTATATTTTGTCAAGTTCCTAGTTGTTTATGGTGAAAGGGAAATTCCCATAGTAGTTAATCCTTCATAGGCTACAGAGAAATCCTGTATAATGTTTATACTTTTCAAACTTTTTTGAGTAATTGGAAGACATAACTTCTGTTCTTTATTTATTTACTTTTATTTATTTGTTTTTAGAGAGAGGGAGAGGGAGGGAGAAAGAGGGAGAGAAACATCAATGTGTGGTTGCCTCTCATGCGCCCCCTACTGGGGACCTGGTCTACAACCCAGGCATGTGCCCTGAATGGGAATTGAAATGGCCTTTGGTTTTCAGGCCAGCACTCAATCCACTGAGCCACACCAGCCAGGGCTATAATGTTTTTTATATGGGGAGGGGGTGTTTATACAGTATATGTTTATTGTTGTTATTGAGGTATAATTGACACATTATGTTAGTTTCAGGTATATATATTTTAATGATTATTTATTAACTAATATCTGTCCTAAGGCTAAATGGGCTGTATTCTGAGCATCACAGGTGTGACCTCTCACTCTTTCAGTTTCTTTACAAATATATAACAGCCCTGAATGATGGTAAGGCTAAGTGGATTTTTCTTTTTTAAATTGCTTTGGGCTTATTTTGCTTGGCTAGATTTGTTCTTTGTCTAAATACTTTATATACAATTCTTATTTTTGTCACTTATAACTTAATTCAGCATTCGTTTGCTACTGTTCTTATCTTGTTCACTGGAATAACGCTTAATTTAAAAATGTAACCACATAGCCCTGGCCGAGTAGGTCAGCTGGTTGGAGTGTCGCCTCCTATGCCAAGGTTGTTTGTTTGATCTTTGGTCAGGGCACATACAAGAGGCAACCAATGAATGCATAAATAAGTGGAACAACAAAATTACTGTTTCTCTGCCCCCACTTCTCCCTGCCTCTCTCTCTCTCTCTCAAATCAGTTTTTTAAAAATGTAATCTTGTAAACAGTGTTTTATTTGTCTGATTTTTCCCCCCAGGTGGTATAGCTGTATGCTGGGAAAGAAATGCAGCCTTGCTCCTCTAAAGGAAGAACTTCGTATACAAGGGGTAAGCCTTTGTCATTACTGTTCTTGTGTCCCTACTTTTGATGGTAGTTGGAATATAGAATTTTCCTTTTACTTTCAGTCTCTAAGTGGGTTTTTATCTTTGCTTGTTTATTTTTTTATTTTGTAATGTTGGGGCTAAAAGGGACTTTTTATAAATTATTTAAATAAGGCCTTGTTTGACAATTACTTGTAACAAAGAAAGTGGCAAAACAGGATATGTAGAATGTCAGAGAAACCAGAAATCAAAAAACTTGGTTGGTATCTGCCTCCTGCTGACTTCACATTTGACTCCTTTGTAACTGTAGAAACTCAGGGCTACATAAGCTAAGAGACTTGTTCTAGATTATGCGTCTAGTTATGAAAGAACTAGAACCAGAACAATCCTCAGCATAGTTTGTTTCCCACTGTGGTACAATCCATACTGGTTCAGCCCCTTGATTCTGTTTTGCAAAGCAGGTGGCAAATACATACTTCCCCCTCCCTTCCCAATGACCCTCCCATTTTGTGCTTTCGCCTGAGTAAGCCTGAGCAAGATGACTTTTCAGAGAAGGAGATCAAATGTGGAGTTAGTGATAGAAGCCAAATTTCTGATTGCTGGTTTATCTCTGACATCCTATTTATCTTATGTTCTCTACCACACCTTTTTTGTTGTTGTTGTTGTTGTTAAAATTAGAATAGCTACAAACTAGTTTTTTCTTTCTTAAAATCTGATAGACAAAAGGGAAACTACATAGTTGTGTTTAGCCATTTGGTGTCTCTCTTTCTTAGAAAAAGAAAACAAAAAAAAAACATTCAAATCATTTTACCAAAGATTCTTTGAAGAGCTGTGTTTTGGGTGTCTCATTTATTTGGATCTCAAGCCAGAACTATAAATTCTCTCTAATGTTTTATAGTAATAGGGGGGGAAAAATTACAACTTTGTTGAGATAATTTATTCATTGATTTTAGGCAGCTGTGTATAATTGTTTTTGATAGTAGTGTTTGTTAACTGATAAAAAGAAAGACCAACACACAATTTCACATGAGTCAGCAGCTAGAAACATATTGATAGAATGACTTCAATTTGATGAGATGCTGTGCTTGTTGGTTTCAGGTTCCTAAAGTCACCTACACTGAATTCTGTCAAGGTCGGACAATGAGATGGGCCTTGGCTTGGAGTTTTTATGATGATGTAAGAGTACCAGTAAGTAGAGACCTTGCTTCAATTTCTCCAAATGCCAGCACGTGGTGGGTTTTAGTAGGTCATAAATGAACTACTATTTGTGCTGTCCTGTATCTCTGAAGTTTGCTCCAAATGCTTGCATCAGAATGGAAAGTAGTTGTAAATAAGACACAGTCCTGGAAGGCTGGCTGTGGTCACTGTGGGGCCTTTCCCGTGAGTTGGTGCAACACAGTGATTCTTACTCAGCAAATGTAAATGAATTGGAAATGCATCTTTTAGGAATTACAGATTCAGATAATATAAGTTGTAGAAACACTTTGTGGGTATAATTATTCTGTTGGACACTCCTCAAGAAGTGAAGTGGAAGTCTGTTTTTCTTTGCCCGCTGCTGCTTTCCTAGAGTAGCTATCTCCTGGGGCTCCCGGTTGTACACAGAAATTTGCCCTTTGGGTTTGCCAGCTTTTGATGTGTAACACTTAGAGCACTTTACTAGAATGATCCCTATGTTGGTTTAAGATTAACACTAGAATACTGATCAGTTTTTGAAGCTGGGTGATAGATCATTATCCTGTTCTCTACTTTGTACATGCTTGAGCTTGAACATTTTTTAAAAAATGATTTGTTCCACATACTTCTCCTTGCCCTCTTTGTTGCTCTGTATAAAGGAAAAAGACTTATGAACTTATGAGAATGAATATATTTTCTGGGCTATACTGAAAAGTTGTAATAAAATAGCATCTGTTTGTTCTCACATTTCCCTCGTAAAAGTGGTTGACTCTTGTCTGTAGTCTCCCCCCTTAAGTTTAGGCACACTTTGCTCCATTTGTGCTCCTCCTGTCCATAGTGTTGATGGAGGCCTACTGCCTGACCCTTCTCACCTCTAGACCTTTGCCCATAGAATAGGGTAATTCTCAGTGCTCCTCTCCAAAGGTCTTGGCTGCTCTCCATCTCTAAAGTCATCTTAAATGTTGCTGTGTCTATGAGCTGCTTTCCCCACTCTCACGGGGCAGAGGAATAGAGACACATACAGATGAAGATGGGGACAATTTGCAGATGTTTCTGAATACATGAGCTTGAATTTGAAACTGAGCCTGTCCTTCCTAACACTCTGCAGCTAGGTATGCTGCTGAGAAATGAGTTTCACAGTCAAGTTTGAATGGCCTGTCCCATGGAAGCCTAGACCCACCTCTTTGTACAGTGATTGCTGTAGGGTATCTAAAGGTTAGGGTTTGAAATAGTCACTGGTTAAAAAGATGTTTTCGCGTTTGGGACCTTGCTTCTTTTTCTGTCATCTTCTAGATACTATGGCTGTTACACCAGATTGTTAAAATCATCAGTGATGCCCTGGGTTATTCCTATGCAGACACTGACAGCTGTAGGAAAGTGGAACTGCACCTGTTTCCAAATGTTTTCTGTTTAACTTGCTTCTCACATTTGTTGGCACTGCAGGTGGAAGAGCTCATAACAAGCTCTGGCACTCTTCACATCATCTCAGAGACCAGAGTTGCCCTCACACTCTTGGATTAGTAGCTATTTCAGATCAAAGTATCAAAGGGCACTGTGTTTCTGTGTTAGTAAAAGCACCTTATTTTGAAAAGGAATCTTCTAAGCTTCCCTCCCTCCCTGTCTGTCTTTTAGGCCATCCTTGAGCCCTTTTCATAGTTTCAACCATCAAAGAATGCCTTTTGCTGAGTCTCAGCTTTCTTCCATGCCAGAGTACTGATCCCTCCCCATCACTATCCCAACCCAAAGCTGTTAATAATGCATTCCCAAGTGTTCCATTAGTTGCACTTAAACTGCTACAGGGAAAATGGCAATTTCTGACTTGTGGTAACCCAGCAACAGTTTCTTAGCACTGGTGCTCTTAATTAGTAACTGCTTTTCCAGGGGTAGTCCCAGGGCACACATGAGGTTTTTCATGGGCTGTTCTTTTGGTTCTCCTTCCCTCTGCTTGGACCACCCCTCACCCCTTGCTTTTTGAAGTAATGACTATCACCTGATTTTCCCCCTATTGCTACTTTTGGGGGTGGAGAAGAAGGATGCTGCTTTAGATGAGGAGAGGAGGCCAAGAACTAGAGCTCGTTAGGCAGAAATATTGACCTACTTCCCTGCCTCTCATCCCCAGTAGGGCCTTTCTAGGGTAAATGTGCAGGTTACTATGGCAACTTATGTTTTTACTTATCACAGACCTAAGTGACTCCTTTATGTTGGTGCTGAGTGCTGAAAAATTCTAATTCACTCCTGATTCAAATGCCATTGCTCTTGTCTGGATTTATTTTAGCAACAAAAAGACAAGTCTTAGTGTTGATAGAATTTTTGTACAATCGTTTTTGATTGATGATGAATATAAGGAAGCATCTTGTAAGGACTGTTTCTTTGCAGAATTTTAACAAGCCACTTAGAATGGCTCTTTCTCCCAGCTTCTTTCTAATTGCTCCAGGCATTATTTTAGCTTTGCTTTCAGAAGTTTGATGCTTGTTAAAAGAAAAAGGAAAAATAATGTGTCTCCAGCAACTTGGACACTCTTGGTATGAGCCTTGTCCAGGAACTCTGGTTTTAAAAAATTCTTCCTCTGCATTCAAGGCATTTCCTAGGACTTCCCTATCTAGGGAGTAATGACTAGAGAGCCTTTGGGATTGGAAAGCAGGGGGAGGGAAGGGGAAAATTAATTAGGTCGCCTTGTTAGTGTTGTCAGGGTTTGGGGTCTCCTGACAGTGGCTGTGCTGACAACTCCATAGGTTTTCAAACAAGTTCCGGATAGATTAGGGATTCCATGTAAATGTCCCAGGGGATGACAGTTGGGGGCAGATATCAAGTTGGTACTTCAGGCCTCACTCTCATTTTAACCAGAGCTATCTGCTTTTAGCAATGTTATGTATTGATTTTATTTGTTTAAAGGATTCATCGTTAAGAAATGGTTTGAAAAACAATACTATACCAAGTTATACATTATAAAACAGATGTGATGATTAGGGAGTTGAGCTCTTGAGCAAAACCAAAGCTAAGGGCTCTCTTTTTATTTACTTATTAAGTATGATCTTCATTGTGATAATACCAAAGAAATGACACCATTTTCTGTCCTTTATGATGATTAATTTTAGGGGTGGGGAGAAAAACACATGAATCATTTATGCAAAATTGTATAAGAGTAAGTGCTGAAATGACGGTAGGGACCAGAATGGTTGAGAGTTAGAGAGCTGAGTTCAGGCTGGGCTGTCAGAGGTAACTTCATGGAGGAGGAATTGTTATTGTTGGTGCTCAGTATTTTCTGGCAGTGGAAAGCAATGATGTAGTACAACTAAGGTGCAGCATGGAGAGCAGAACATTAGTAGATTTGAGGACCTGGATATTGTCTTTGTTGTTTGAATGGTTCACTTCACACACATTATCTATCATTTCATATAAACCTGAGAACAATCAAGTGAATGAGATGGTATTATTTTCACTTACTAAATGCGTAAACTTGAGGCTCTAAAATGTCAGGTTGGAACCCAGATTAATCTGATTTCATAACCTGTACTCTTCATCACTCTGATACTCTGCTTTCTACAGTACTGCTGTTTACTCCACTCTAGCCATTTAAGAACCTGCTCCTGTAGGTCCCCATCATCTTGTTTGTAGACCATCCTCAGCAACCCCTCTTTTCTTGTAAGAGTCACTTGGGCTCATCCTTAGCTCACCTTTCTGCTAAAAAATTTATGAGTGGCTACCTACTGCCAGTGTCCTTGTTTGGCTCATTGGGCCTTCCAGATCTGCCTTTGACTTCATCCTAGTCACTCCCTGTTTTTCTGACTGTACTGTTTTCTACCATATTGGCACCCAGTCAGCTTTGACTTCGGCATCATAAAAGCCTTTGTTCACAGTCTGTTCTCTGTCTAGTCCTTCCCTCGGACTTCCCTCTACTGCAGCCCAGCTCAGTTCCAATTTCTGCATAAAACCTTCTTAACCATTCAGCCCATAGAAATCTCTGGACTTGTACTTATCTTTTTCAGCCATTTGTATATACTTTGAATTGGTGATTTGTTTAACTCTGGCACGGTGGATAAACACCAAAACTATTGTATGCTGTATAGAAAATTCCTTTTGTGAGCTGGCCCCTACCTAGTTTTATGTTGAGCAGGTTATTTAACTTCTCTAAGCTTCAGTGTCCTTATTCATAAAATGGGGGGTAATGATAATACCCATGACATAGGGTTTTGTGGATTAAATATACTTAACACAGTGCCTGCTATATAGTAAATGCTCAGTAAAATATATTGTGTTATCATTTTCCAGTTTGGTGCTACAGGAATGTTGAGTTACTGCTGAGATTCCTTTTTTTGTTTTTTGACATAAAGAGAATACCCAAGTAGTCATTAGATTACTAAAAATTGTCAGGAGAGTCCTCTCTCACCATCAGACACCTCATCTATCAAGTTAGTTCAGATACTACCTTCTGTGAAGCTTGTCCTGACTCTTCTGAAGCTAACATTGGGATTCTTCTTCTGTCCTCACTGTAGTACTTGTCCGTATTTCTATCTTTGTATCTTTTATATAGCCCCAACCTAGCATAAATGTCTGATCCTCAAATAGTAATCATCAAATGAATGAAAGTAAAGGAGCAAATGATGTAGGACAATGATTCTCAGACTTTTCCACTGAAGTACCAACTGTAGCAGAAAACAGTTACTGACAAACCCCTGAGCACCAACATGACGATAACTCACGCTATGCCATGAAGTGTCCTGTACTTTTCTCTTTTAAAATCCATTTAAAGTTTGTAATCTATTCCATACATGTGTTTATTTTCATTTTTTAAAATTAAATAATTTTAATATTGAGTCAAATTGATAATCTAAGAGTACCCTATATCACTTGGTTCCATTATTATTTTTACAAAGTATAACAAATAATACGGTTAATTTTATAAATCATAAAAAAGGTTAATTCTATTTATAGAATCATTTCTATTTTTATTTTGTTTTACCTTTCTGGCCCCCAAAATGCAGCTTACAGAATTAACCTAGTTTGATGCATCATAT